CCAGCCCAAACCATTCTGTGATTCTATAAGTCATCTCACCAGTACACCTTGATGGTTTTTTTTACTGCTTAGAGGTCCTTGAGAGTGGTCATTAGCCCAATGCCCTGCCCTGCAGCTTCTCATTTGCTGCTAGTAGGAGCTGCACTCCTGCGTTTCTTTAAGGCTAAATTTACTAGATCACTCCCGCCTTTATATTAAACCAGGGACAGAGACAAAATATTAGGGTCTGTACCTGTTTTTCTAATCCTGGCTTAATGCTATGCAGAAGTTCAAAGCAAATTGTTACAGGGGTCTCTTGTGAACTAAAATTGCAGTAGCTCTATGGTACTTGTGTCAGTCACAGGACAGAAAACAAGGAAATATTTTCGTCTATGCTTCTATGTCAGGCAAGAGCTTACGTGGAAAGGAACATAATCTAAGACTCTCTGGACATGGAGCCCCTGCCAGTATTGCCATAGGCTGAAAGAGCTCTTAGTTGGTTAAGAGACCTAGCTCACTGGCCTCTATGTTCTCAGGACTGCCAGGATTGATAGTATCTAAGTCAAATGGCAAATTCATCCAAGAAATACTGGATATAGGTATTTGTAGATCTTGTATTACTGGCTCTTCAGTGTTGACTTGTTCCTTGGATGTTCTCAAGATTCTTGCTCTTAGCACCGCAGTATTTCTAGTTCCTGCAGTGCTCCTTTCGTATGCACTCTATGGCCATAGTGATTCTTGTTGAGGGTCTCCTACAGCCTTATTATAGCCCATGATGTAGATCCTGCTGATGCTGTATCTGTTCTCAGCATCAGTGGAGCTAATCACAAGTAAGAAAATGTGTGAGAAGAGGAAGGGAGGATCCTCTTCTGAAGATGTCTTAATCCCAGAAACATTGAGCAAAAGCGAGCAGAATCTGTGGTAAACCTTGGTGATGCTGCTGTGATGCTGGAACTTCTGAGATAAGACATCAGAGCAGGTGTCTAAACGTTAACGCTTGAAGGACCAGCTGGAGCTGGGGAGGGAAGTTGTGGACAAGTAGTGTAAGCACACTTGAAATGGTTAGATAAATGTGTCCTTGATTCATCAGATGGAATAAAGCTGTAAGATATTGGGATTTCCATTGTGTGTCTAGGTAAAATCAAGCTAAAAGTGTAGGCTTTTCTTAAGTGGTTTTGTCAGTCCTATGTACGTCATTCATAAGCTTCTTAAAGCATTGGAGTTAGGTCGCATTTTAAGGGGTTGTTCTACTTTAATTGAGAAAGGCAGTTAAAATTACATAAAAACTACTGTGTGGACAAGTTCTAGAGGCTATTATTTTTTTTTCTTGCATGTATAGGCCTGGTCTTCAAAGATGCTGGTAGCAAGTGAGCTAAGGCTGAAGTAACATAATCTTTGCTTACTAAAACATGTAAAATAAGATATGGAAAATGGGATATTTTGGGATGGTTTGTTCAGCTCTGCATTTTGAGAGCAGATAAAATCGCAAAAAGAAGATAAATGTTGGAAGCATTAAATTATTTTTAACCCTATTTCTTTTAAAGCAATCCTAAAATTGCTTTCATTCCTATAGCTTTCTGTTCAATACCAAATCTGTTAGAAGTACTGCAGAATACAAAATAATGAAGATGAGGCTGAAGGAGTTGAGGGCACCAGAACTGTGAAATGCTGTAAATGTCTTTCAGTGGTGTTGCATGACTGTCCAGAAACACTGCAGTGTGATTCCACTACATCTCTTTCATTTGAATGTGAAGAGGAGGAGAAACAGGGTGCAGACAGAGGTGGTGAAGTAAATATGTTGAAATCTTGTGATCAGAACACAGGTTCCCATCCAAAGTCCTGACAGCTATATCTAGCTGCCAAGACTGTACACAAAAGCTTGTAGTGTTGTCCCAGGCATCCTCTTTTGTGAGATCTGCTGTGAAAGGATAATAGCCGAGATTACTTGGTCTGGCAAAACAACCTCTATCTGATTTTTTAGTTTGCCTTCAGTTGCTCTTCTGTTAAGTACCTTATTTTCCATGGCAGTTTCGAAGTGGTAGAAATATACTTGTAAGTTCAAGCGTAATGAACTCTGTTCCCTGGAAAGACTGGATTTACTCCGTATGCCACGGCTGACTGTGCCAAGCCTGTTTGATAAGTCCAGTTACTCAGCAGAGAAAAGACTGTGGTGCATGGCAGTGTGCTCTTGTGTCTTAAGTGATGTCAGTGTGTTTTAGTGATAAGAAGTTGTATGATACAGTGAACTGCACTGCTACACTTGATGACAAGTATTGCCTGGAAATTCTGTGTTATTGCACAGAAGGTGGCTTAAAATGTCAAAAATAGGTTAAGATTTGATCTATGTTTGCAATAATTGATTTAGTCTTTTTTTCTTGTTCAAAATGTGATGTTGACACTTGGTCACTGCATAGTGGAGAGATTTTGGGGTGTGGGGGACTTGTCTGTGGAAGGGGATGAGGTTCTGTGGGTAAGAGTAGCTTGGTTTTGCTTAGTGGAGCATACAATGCAAAAAGCGAACCCTTCAATTGAGTGATACATTACTACAGAACTGGAGTCTGCTTTGTAGACAAGACTGATCTAGAATTGCAAGTTGCATGCTTGCTTTGGTCGCACTTGCAGCCCTGCTTCAGGCATGCTTCAGTTTAGAACTTTAATGTTATTTTAACATCTTTTATTATTTTTTTTAAAGAAAAGCATTTAAAAGCTGTTCTGTGGCACTGTTTGCTAGTCAGCAGTATTGCATTCCACCTTGTATAGGCTGAGCTTGCCTCTCAGCCCTTCAGAGCTTACATTGAAAGCAAAGCTGTCATTCACTTGAGCGTTGCAGCATCAGTCCTAGAGCAAGCCAAAGGCTTGTTTTTGGGGAGGTCGATGGTAGAAGTATTCTACAATTTTCTCACGATTAGAAATACTCTCAAAGATACCAGTGGATTAATACAGTTCACTTTGAATCTTCACAGTCCCATATGTAAACATGGGCTTGTGTGTGTGCATGTGTAATGCAGCATGTGCCATACATCTCCTTTCCTTCAAGACTTAAAGGCAGAATTTGCTTAGTTGAAGTCCAAGGTCAATAAAACTAAGGACTGATATTTCTCTTCAGTGCCGTAACTTACTGCTGCTCTGTGAAAGCCCAGTGGCTCACTTCTGTCACTGTATGATGGCACCTCTTAGCTGCCTCTGAAGCCCAGTGTTTCTCATCAGTTTTCATTCTTAGTATAGCTCAGGCAGCACTCATAGTGCCAAAAAGAAATAAATACTTCAGCAAGGTGAATTTATTTAGGGCAGATTGTCTCATTCTGGTGCTATATATATTAGTGCTTAATCAATGCATTAGCTTTTAAGAAAAAGCAAGAGGAAGGAGACAAATGTGAAATAGTTTTTGCTTGGATGCAGCCTAGAGAAGTGTTGGAAGTGTTGAGGAACACTTGTTTAATGCTGGCCTAAGACATACAGAGGATTTGAATGTTGTCTGTTTTGTGTTATGTCTTGAGTGTAACCTGTGCCATGGCATGTTCAGCACCACGTTCATAGCTGATGTAGCTTGAACTAGAAACCCTATTCTACTGACATATGTTAGCCTTGTATTTTTACTTAAGTAATACAGATAATGGATAAATGCTGTCTCTCTAATTTACAAAACAACTGTACTAGATAGGAGTCTAGACTTTTTTATGTTTTGTTTTTTTTAACTAGGATTTGAGTAAAAAGGTGTCAATTTATATGCAGAATGTTTAGTAAATTCTAAAACTAGTTATGCTGTAGAAATGTGTCAAGAAACACCTATCAGTACAAGTGTGGCTGTTCAATGTATACTTCTAAAATAACTCTCATAAGTTCTCTGATGATTTAGGACAAGAACAATTATTAGTAATGCTTAGTAGGCAGACCTGAAGCAAAACACCATGGTAAATGCCATATCCAGCTAAAAGTCATGAAATACGCTAAATAATCAGATGGGATCTTCATTTCAACTTTCTTGTTCTGCTACCTCTGATTACTCAGAGGTGTCAAAGGTTTTAAAATGGTGAGGGTATAGTTTTTACACTTACACAAAATATTCAAGTAGAATAGATGGTCTTAACGTTGTGGTGTTAGGATTCATTGACTCCATAGCTGATTCAATACGTTGCACTGGGATCTCCAACAGCTCTGCTGCAGACTCAAAAATGTTGTGAAGACAAATGCTGCAGTTGCTCCTACTATAAACAGTCTTCAAAGTGATTTCTGCTTACTGCAGGAATATATTAAAACTTGTTTTTTCTCATTCCATTCTTAAAGAGATTATAAATTGGGAATAAGTGGAGTACAGCTGATACCAACAAGTTAAATGAAATGTATTTGTTTACTAAAAGTAGCTGATAAGTTATGTGCAAAAGTGTTAAGCTGCAAGAGGAGAAAGTCAGAAACAATGGAAAAGAGTTGGACAAGTATCCTTTCTGTTTAAGAAAAACAAATAAAACATTTTGTTTGGTGGTTACCAGATCTAAGTTACATTGGGGTGCCTTGTGTATATGTTTTATCACTACAGCTGTTTGGGTTCTTCATGCAAGTGTATCTTTTACTTTCTGAATATCTCAGTTTGATAAATAGTGCTGACTTTAGTAGATTATGATCCTGTAAACCATTCTGATTTGACTTAGAATATGTTACTAATTATTTGATTCCTGAATACCTAATTTAAGCACTGTCAACCTTAAAATATATTGTCATCCTGTGCTTCCTCCTGCACACTGTACCTTGTGAAAATCTTGTGGATTTTCACTGTGTCGAAGTAGAATAATTTTCATCCTATAAAGAGTGAGATAAAAGGAGAATGGAGACAACCTTGAGCATATCTTTCTGTACTGAGAGTTTACACTAGGTGGCATGCAAGGAAAGCCAAAAGCACAAACTTGTCTTAAAATTATTGGTTAAAATCTCAAACTTGTTTCAAGATGTTTTTATCTTATCTTTTGATCACTTTTAAATGTCTTCACAGGTTGAAATGTCCTCTTGCTGGTACAAATAAAAGATTTCTTATTAATACCATCAAAAACACGTTACCGTCTCAAAAAGAACAAGACCAAGAACATGAACAAAAGGAAGACAGTAAGGAGCCTGAGCCAAACAAAAGCAGGAAAGAAGAAAAACCAAAGAAACGCAGAATTCACCCATATACACCCAGCTTTCAGTCCAGGAGGAGAGTCAGCTACTCTCCTCCAAGGCACCGAAGCAGGAACCAGCACACAAAGGATAAGCATGAAAAGCAATCAAGCAAACGATGAGGAGAGGAGAGTGATGAATATGTGTTGTTACAAGCGAGGAATGTTATTAAGTGTCGGACTGCAGGGATGTCTCAGTTTTTCAGGAAAAGATGCTGTTCAGAATTGAATTTGGAACTGAGTTGCTTGTGTGAGAAGTAACGTTGAGGTAGCTTTAGAAAACCTTCTTTGGGACCTTTGAGAGAAAAGCAATGTGCAGCATAAATCTTTCAGTTGTTTTAGAACAGACATTCCTTTCCCTTTGCTCCATTCCTCTCTCCCTTTCTGACTAAGCTTAGGGTCTTGGTGATGGAGCATGATATGTGTGTCACTGTCTGATACAACTCCTTTAGTCATGTCACTCTTTTGGAAAGAAATTTAAATTAAGCAGAAATCTATTTATTGTGTAAAGTTGGCTGAACTTCTTTGCTGCTGACCAGTAAAGAAGTTTGTGTGTTTGGGTTAGTTTGGGTTTACAGAATCTAGAAGAAGGGAAAGCTGGTCAGTGCCTGACCAAGCACATACATTTTGTATAGAATATAAGAGTTTGCTGTCTTTAGTATAAAAAGAAGAAATTCAAAATGGGCAACACTGATTTTGTTTTCCAGGAGGAGCTACCAGGAAAAACTGATTTTTTTTTTTGTTATTGTATATTCACAAACCTGTCATAAATAATAATAAACATTACCCCTAAAAAGCCATAACTGCAATAATTGTCTCTGTTTAGACTTCCCCTGTAAGGAAGTAGTTTGAATAGTCTGTTGTCATGGTGCTTTCAAAACAAACCTTGAAGACAAAATTGTCATGTTCTCTGTCCACTGCTAGGAAGTTTCCAAGTAAATGTGTAATAATAGAAATGCAGAGGATATACTTCAAAACAGTCAAATGCTTACTTTTCAATCCTGTGTGACAATTCTGTAGCGGTACAGTTCTTAAACTTGTGACTTGGAGTACGTATAACATACATCGGCGTATTCTACATTTCCCTTCTGTTTGTGTTACAGTAACAAACTTCTGTGTGAAATGTTTTGTATTTCGGTATTCTCAAAAATAATTAATTTTGAACATAGGTTTCCATTCTTCATTGTGTTGACAATAAAATAGAAAATATTAATTGAAAAATGCTTTGTACAATTAATGTTTTTAATGGATTTCTTAACTGAAATGGGCCTGTCTCCTCTGAGGGAAAGGAGGAGCAGCACTTCATGGTCTTTCAGTTTTGTGTCAGGGCAAGAGTGCCACCTATAGGCTTCTCTGTACTTCATCTTCCTATACTTACCTGCCTGTCTTGGAAAGATCATGTTAGCTAGGAGACAGGGAGACCAAGGTGGAGATGTGCTGTGGCTGAATTTTGATGCGTTAGCTGGTAATTACTCTTCTGAGTAATTGGAAGGTAGTTAATCAGGCGTTGAGGCCACTGGTGGCTGTCAGGGTCAACGTATGCAACAAAGTGGGATACTTCTGCATTTCCACTGAGGAGTTGTGGATAGTTTCTCTATTTCCCTGCAGGAACCATAGCACTGTAAGAGAAGTGTCGGCCTTTCAGAAAATTGACAACAATTTAAGTGGGATCAATGAAAAAGTAGTATCATTGAAGAATGGTAGGACTCTCTTTGGTTTAAATAAACAGATGTTGTTTGCAGTCCTTATTTTGCTGGACACCAGCTGTGTTCTTCTTAATAATCCGTTCTGGAAGGACAGCACCTATAATACCAGCTGGGTTCTACTGCAGTGACAGTGCTGGATAGGTGTGGCTTTGCAGCAGGGAATTCATCTCGTTGTTGCTCAAGATCGAGGCTGGAGATGTTCCACAGCACAAATTCCCATTAATTCTTGTTTGTCTGGCTTGTGGAGATAATATAGTGTCCTGAGAGCTTTCCACACTCAGACCTTCAAACACCCCTTTAGGATAAGTGCTGCTTTGTTTCTACATTAATTTAAGCCAGGCTTTCAGATAGGGAAAGTGATTAGGATGTGCTTTCAAAATGAGTCTGGATTGTTGATGGAGAGCACTTCCTTACTAGAAATGCTCAACTAGAGGATCTGAAATGACCTAAACCAGATTGCTGGAGGATGTCTCTCTTCATTAGTGGCGGTAGGTTCAGGTCTAATTCCACTTTTTTTCTGACTTACAGAATGGATGTGAACTATTAATCTTTCATTGATTGATTCTATATTTTAATGCTGTAGATAATACAAACAAAAAACTCTGATATTCATTAGCTGTTCTTAAGGCAAATCTTCACCTGCTGATCACTTTTTAAATAAAAAATTGGATACACAAAGCCAGGTTTGTATTGTGACTGCAGTTGCTCGTATTGTGCAGCACCAGCGTCCTGTTTATAAGGTATTTTAAAGATAGGATTTAGACCCTGAAACTTAAAGGTGAACATGATATTTAAAAATGTTACTAACTCATGTAACTCAGAACATTCGTTACTCGTTAAAGTGCCTAGCCCTTAAAATAAATAAATACATAAATAGTGCATGATTGGTCTCAGCTTCATGTAGTAGTATGTTGCAACCTAGTTACTCACATGGGAAGGGAATGCACCTTACATTAATGTTGCTGCAGTGATACTTTAAAGGTGTTTCTTGTTTATCTTTGTGAGCTACTAATGTTGTCTTTGTTAAATTTCAGTGCATGTTGTATGGATAACAGAGTTTCTTCGGGTGAGGGTGTTTTCTTGCCATAGCCACAGGAGCTTGTTAATTAGGCTTTATTATTATATTGGACAGAAATAATCCAAAATGTGCATTTTCATTGAGCTGATACCGAATGCACGAAACAATGTGAAAGAGGAGGGAGCATTTTATAATCGGGCTTTATGAAACTCTTCTATTAGTTTTGACTGTCAACGATATAGTAACATGATGTTCATTGTACAGCGTCATCTCTTTTGTAAATCCAATTTGAATTATTTACAATGAATCATGAATGTCCAAGAAAAGTCCAGCAGATTTGACATGTAACACAAAGGCAAAAATAGACCCTATTTTTCAGACTGATCCAAGTTTACTTCACAAGTTTCTTGAGGTGCAGTTGTAAGAGCGTTCCTTAATGATTATGAAATTTCTAAAGCAAACTAGTTGACAAAGGAGATGTAAATGTTTGTAGATCAATGGAATAATGTAGTAGGAGGGGACTGCTTTTCCTGCACAAACAGAACTGAGTTTTGTGTTGTTGCTGCAAGTTGGTCACTGAGAACCATGTTTCCTCTCCTGCTGCATCAGAGATCTCATTAAAAAGTACGTGTTTTCAGTTAATTAAACTGGAACAACACAAGAGTAGACTTGCTTGGATACAGAGCAAGAAAACATATTTTGATCATGTTTGGAGAAGGATTTTATTCATTTTATGAGTAGAGTCACTTGTCCACCAAATCTTTATTCATGTGAGTGATCTTTGCAATTGGAAATAATCCTGTTGTAGCTCACCATCTATGAATGAAAGTCCTGTCTGCATTAATATACACTCTTTGTTTTAGTGACTGTCAATGGGACATAGTCAAGAGTGTTAGAGGCATACCTCCAATTAAAAGAAAAAACCTTAAAAATTTTGCAAATTATAAATATTTATACCCTCATCTCCATATACGATAGTCTTAAGACAGAAAAAAACTCAAATACTTTTATGCCAAATACTTAGCAGCCTCTCAGAGTCTCAAATGAGCACTGTGGAGGTATCTTAACTTATTTTATATGGATTCCTATTGCTTAGACTCTAAATTTACCAAATACGGCTTTAGTAACTTTCAGGCTGTTACCCCCCCACCTTATAAAATGCTGCTAGAAGGCTGCATCTATATTGAATCTCAAAACATTGAATCTCCATCTGGATGCAACAAAAGTAAACTTTTGTTTGTAGGGGAAAGCAAGAAGAATATGCTATTTTTACACAAAATTGCTGTTCATACAATATTCTACTACCTAAAATGTTGAGCCTTGTGTTACAACCAGAATGTTGAGCCGAATACTTTAGGCTAAGGAATGGTGCAAGTTCTGCATAGCTCTCCTGACAGCGTCCCGTGTATTTTATATTATGATCGCATAGGGCTAACTGCACGAGCGCTGTGTGAGAAGCAGCGTGGTGCCCTGGAGAGGGGATGCAGTGCCCTGTAGTGTTGGTGTAAATCTCTGAAGAGGAGTTCAGTTCCCATCTTCCACTTCTTGTAGGATCTTAGGTAGGTTTACATGTTGCTCTGGATACGTCTGTACCTAAAAAAATAAGTTTTGCATGGTCATGAGCACTGTAGGCTGTGTCTCTCGCCAATCTGTCCTCTTGGCTGTTCTGTGGATAGTCGTCAGCTTCCCCGTGTGGCCATGTTTGATAAGGTCCCACAGGTTTGTGCAGCCCTGTGTCCTCCAGACCCTCTCGCCACCGCTGCCGCGAGCCTTGAGTGGGGATGTGGGCAGGCAAAGGCCACCATGGCTTTGGCAGTGAGCAGGGCAGAATTGGGTCTGAGTTTCTTCTCTGTAAATGGGGATTTGAGGTGTAGGAACACCCAGCATAGATGTGTAGGGATGCTTTGAGAAAATCGCATCACAGCTTCATGTTGATAACCTCAGGCTCTGGAAACTTCATTACAGTCTGGAGTCTGGCATGATAAACAGGCTCGTGTTCTGTCTCAGTGTCACCGCAGGCTGGGACATGGTCACAAAAAAATGGCATTGCAAGGATACGACACTACAGTCACAGAGGCAAAAATCAAAATTTTGTCAGAAAGTGAAGGCAGTGGCATCTTTAATGGTGTGTATGAAGACCACAGTGGGAAACCAGTGTAACTGAAGATTTCATTGGACTCTTAAGTCTGAAAGTACAAACCCAGGGAGCCAACAGACTCTTGCTAGTGAGCAGAAAGGAAATCTTACTGCTGTCTGCCATCCTCCCACCCACACTGGTTTGGCTTTGTGTGGGAGGGACCATGGCTACCCCATCGCACCAAGTTCATGTTCACTTGGGTGGCAGATGCAGCAAAATCTGTCTTCCCTGCTGGCTGACTGGTCTTGACCTGTCTCAGGTCTGTGCTGAGATTGCAAAGATCCTTGATGTTTGTCAGCTTTAAGGCTAAAGGCACAAGCCCTGCAACTCAGTAGAATTATAAAGAATTATTAGAATAATAAAGAAAAACTAAAATATACTGTAGCTACTTAATCACTGATCCTTTTAAATTGTATGTTTAGCAGTTTCAGTGAAGTTCACGTTCTGGAGATCTTCCTTGGTTTCTGCCTGCATGGCTGCTGCTCGCTCAGGCTGGCCACTGCAGGGCTCCAGCTTGGAGGAGTTGAATTTTGTCACGGAGGAGCTGAAAGAGGAACATAAGCGTAGGACCATGGTATGAAAGGGAGCATGCAGGGATGTGGCCTGGTGTTTGCTTTGGCAATTGGTAGCTCAAGTAGTCTTAGTGTAGTCTCACTTCTCCCTCTTGCTAAGCAGGAACACTCCACATCACCTTCAGCCAGGCTCGCCGTGAAACCCACGGCCCAGCCAAACCATCTGTGCTTTCTTGGGGCACACGGGTGGGAATGGGGAAAGACTGCAGAAAGTGCTACAGGAGCAATATTACACACAGCTTCATCTCAATTGTGTAAATACAGCAAAAGTCTGGTTTTGGGAAACATTGGTGGGCATTCTGCTTGCAGCTGTGAGTCTTCATAATTCTCCATCTTTTCCCGAGCAGGACCTGCCTGTGTCTTTTAAAACATTCCATGGGGGATGAAAGTTTTCCCAATGCTAGTCATTCAAAACGTCTGAGAGAGAGAAAAATGCCAGCAAGCAGCTGATTCATTAGGAACAGCAATGACAGGCAGTTCCTGGTAATGAGCTGCTGTTTAAGTTCAAATAAGAATATTAAGGAAGGAGTATAACACATGGAGAAAAACAAGGCTCTGTGTGAGCTGTCGCTTTGTCTTAATTCTGTATATTATGTTCAAATTTAGTCTTCTCTCCCTACCATACTAGCAGACACCAGAGTAATAGCAAAAGCCAAAAGGAAGGTAAGCAAAATAAAATAGTTGGTGTTGTCAATCTGGATGTCTGAACTTGGACAACTCTGCCCACAGCAGACCCCTGAATTAAAACATCGCTCTTCAGCATAATCCAGTGTGTTG